ATGGAGTTGTCCCTTAAATCATTGTGTACAACAGTAAAATCTATTTAAAATGAAAAGCATATTTGTTATGAATTTAGAAGAATGGCACTTATTAATTATTTTTTGGTCAAAAAGGCATTTTATTCGTGTGAAATTACAATAACATGAGATCATGAAATTACAACAACAAAAAAAAAAAAAAAATGCTGAGTTTACATTTTTCACTTACGCTCCTATGATAGAACTTGCCACCTTGATTATTATTGGAATTTCAGGCACTTCAAAAAGGAAAGGCCAACAATTGTTAGCAAGGCCATTTAAAGTAGCGCAACAATCTTTTCCCAAATTTGCTATGTTCTTACTACTATTAATTACATCCTTTATATCTTTTAGGCAAAATGGGGCTAACATTGCAAACTTTAGACATTTAAAAATGCTATCATCGTTCATCTTAGGTGAAGTTTTTCTCATTTCTTGGGCAAGTCCCAATTGAAGAATAGATGCTTTAATGCATGCCACAAGGAGGCAAAAACCAAGTGCCTTTAAGGATGCAAATTCCATGATAAATTGTTTTTGTGTTATGAAGTGTTCTTGATTGTTAGAATGAAAGTTTGATGGGATTTTACAGTGTTTTTCAAAGAAGTTTTTTGTGTGTGTAAAGATTTTTGGTTTAATGGCAACAAAAATCCTTATACAAATAAAAAAGTGGCAACAAAAATCCAAAATTGATTTCCATGGCAACAAAATTCCTTCACCATATTAAAAATAGGCAACCAACTTTAATCCATCCAATTTTTTCCAAGTTAGTTATAGCAACAATATGAACTTTTTTTTGTTTTTCAAATTCTGACACTAAAAATTAAGTTGAAAAACAATGAGTAGGCCAACCTTTTACATTTTACTTAATAAAAAAAATTAAATTTTAATTATAAACATTTATCAAACTTCAAAAAATTTCTTGAAAGGGTGATAATACATAGAACAAAATCAATTGTGTTATTCTGTGCAATTTATGGGGTACAGTGGAACAATCAAGACAATATTTTATGGGGAATTAGGATTTGCAACTTCAAGAAATCAAACTAGTGAAATGATGATACCAGAGGGAAACTTGAATTGAAATAACAGCAAAATCCTTTATAGAATCTTATAATCATTTTTCTATATTTTGTGTGTAAAGAGTACACTATTGAGGGTTCAAACACGATTTAAAATATGAAAGAGACTATTTTGGTCCTTTCCCATCGTGTTTTATTAAAATGTTGTAATTTTGGGATCCTTTTCCAATTATTTTTTTAGATATCCAAATAATAAGTGCCAATCACACACAAAAATATAAAGTATATATATGTACACATGGGAAAAGGGAAAATCAGGATGTCTTGGCATTAAATATGCAACGGTGTTTGATAATAGCTGCTTCATGAATTCGATAAACTTAAGACGCACATTATAGTCCACATATTTAATGGTTGTAGTTGAACATCTTGACATTTTTAATGTAGGACATCTTGACTTTCTCCTTTCTCATGTACACACATTTACTTAACAATATTAAATCTTCTATTATCAATGAAATGGTTATTTATTTTCGATTAACGTTAAAATTAAAGTATATGACCTACAAGAATAGAACATTTAATTCAACAATAGTTTTTAAAAATATTAAGAAAAATATGAAGTGTTTTATTATGTCCTTCAGGTGACATCCTATAAAACATTTTTCCATAACATATATATTTTGAATGCTATTTTAATTCTTAAACAAAACATCTAACATCACAAAATGTTTCAAACTTGTATTTAAACACTAAGATTCTATGGTTTCAATTTTATGATTTCGATTGATCCAATCACCCTTTTAGTTTGCTATAATAAACAAGCTAAAATCCAAGACTTTTAAAATCAAAACCACAAATCTAAAACCCATTTTCTAATTGAGGAAACCAATGAAGAGACTAGATTAAAGGTGACTTTTGGATTAATTACATAAGGTTGATAATTCATCAATGAAGGATACTATTCAATTTTTTAAGTTGTCTATGAATTTGTCATGCTTGACACTTAACATTTTATCAGTCTTCTAGTTGACTTAATCAATAGGTTTTGATATCTAACGATAGACAAGCTAGATTGAGAAAGACAAAGTCATTGAGATTCCAATCGAGGATGGAGATCAAATGTAATATCCCAAATTTTTGGAAATTTTATCAATTAAGTTAGGGACTTATGTGTGAAAGAAATATTGTTTTGGGCTTAATAGCAAAATTTTCAAAGTTCAGGGACTAAAAAGAAAGGAAATGAGATAAGGATCAGGTGCTTTTTCTGTTTCTTTTTTTTTCTTTCTTTTCTTTCTCCCAGCCACATGTGCGTGTTCTGCTCTTCTTCTTCCCGTCCCCTGCAGCCCGAAA